CGCGCGTCGACCACCAAGGGGGTCCAGCGCGCCGTGCGGAAGGCTCGTGCTGTTCGTCTTCCAGCTCCAGCCGCGCCGAGGCGGGCCAGGCGGGGAAGGCCCGCTGCCACGCCGGCGCTGCGGCGGCGCCCGACGGCTGTGGCCGCGCCGGTGCCGCTTCGCCGCCCAGCAGCCGCAGGCGCGCCCGCGCCGATGCGCCGCCCGGCCGCGGGGCCCGGCGCTGCCGGGCTTCGGCCCCGGCTGGCGGCGGCGGTGGCGACGGTGCGGACCTCGAAGGTGACAGCCACGATCCCGTCGGCGTGCGAGAACGCAGCCGTCGGTACCTCAGCCAGGCTGTCCTACCAGCAGTACTACGCGGCCTTCCTGGCGTTCGTGGGACAGCCAGCCGACGACCTCGAGGCGCTCGAGGTGCAGGTCCCGGAGGTCCTCGACACGTTCCTGGAGGCGGGCTGCACGAAGGGGGACGCGGACTACCTGGTCGCCGCCGTCAAGGACGCGCTGCCGCGGGCGACGGGGCCGAGGGCCCTGCCTCGCGCGCAGCGCGCGCTGAAGGGGTACGGCAAGAAGGTGCCCCCGAGGTCGCGGGCCCCCGCGCCCCGCGAGGTGGTGGGCTCAGCGATCTCGGGACTCCTCTCGGTGAACGAGCGGGACGCCGCGCTCCAGGTGCTCGCGATGTTCAGCACGTTCATCCGCCCGGGAGCGCTGAGGAAGCTGCTGGTGAGGGACCTCTTGCGGCCCACGAGGGCCGGGGGTGCCATGGCGGTGTGGTCGCTCCTCCTGGCGCCGACGGCGGCCGATCCGCTGGCCCCGCTCGCCCACGAGGCGGACCGAGCCCGCTTCCTGACCAAGACGGGGACGTCCGACGAGGCAGCGCCGCTCGACAACCCGCCCTGGCTCGGACCTCTGTTGGCCCAGCACGCACGCGGCCGTCCAGGGCATCTGTCGTTGTTCACCACCCCCGCGGTCGACATGGCGGTGCTGTTCCGCAAAGTCACGGCGGCTCAGGGGCTGCAGGATGTGTGCCTATACCAGTTGCGCCACGGCGGTGCGAGCGAGGATGTCCTCTCGGCCCGCCGCGCCCTCGGGGAAGTGAAGTCGAGGGGGCACTGGAGCCAGGACAGCAGCGTCAAGAGGTATGCAAAGCCCGGGATGGCCCAGCAGCTGTTGTCGGCGCTGTCACCAGCCGCCCGAGCGCACGGCGAGGTCCAGTGGGCGAGGCTCGAGGACCTCTTCGCGGGGCGCCTTCGCTCCTCGTGGCCCGTGCAGTAGCCTCGATTAGGCCGCTGGGCGATTGGGGGCCGCGTGGTGGGCTGCTGCAACTACCTCGTGTCGTGCGTTTTGCCAATGCAGTGGGAGCGGAGCTGATGGCGGGCAGCCGCAGGTTGTCGGCGGCCTGTGTTCGTGCCGGGCTGCCCATGCGCTCATTCGAGTTCGCCGACTCTCCGTTGGAAGACGCGCTTCATCCTGATGTTTTTTAGCTCCTCCTCGCAGTCGCTGGGCGAGGCCTCAAGTTTGTCTGGATCGGGCTCGCGTGCACATCGTGGTCCCGGGCGAGGCGGAACCCCCGTCCTGGAAACTGGCCGGGACCTATCCGCTCACCCGAGTGCATCTTGGGGCTCCCTGGACTCTCTGAGAAAGATCAAGGCAAAGTGAAGTTAGGTAATCGTCAGGCCGATTGGGCCGCCAGCCTGTTCTCTAGACTCGTGTCGCTTGGGGTCCCTGTCATCATTGAGAATCCCCAGGGGTCTATGTTGTGGCTGCACCCCCGCTTCCAGGCATTATTGACAAAACATAACTTTATTGACTGGGATCATTGTGCCTTTGGATCGTGTTACCGAAAGCGGACTCGGTTGTTGTATGCTAATTGCGTGCTCGACGGCCTTCGCTCGGATCGGTGTCACGGTCGTGGAGTATGCTCGTTCACACACCAGCCGCATGTGGAGATCGCAGGTAAAGATGAGTGTGGCATCTTTCATTCTGAGAAGGCTTCCGCCTATCCCGTCAGGTTCCATGATAAATTCGCCCACATTCTCTGCCATCAAACTGTATAACAACAACACTGCCGCCCTGGGGTCCTTAACTTTTTAGCCGATTTGGTTTTTAAGTTACCCGCCCTCCCCCCCGGTTCATTTATGTAAATGGGCTTGGGGCTTGGAGGCGGCTGCTTGAGCAGCGCTGGGCCGTGTTCGATAGCATGCTTTATCGATCGCTCGCCTGATTTACTGAGTCTGCTGGCATCGGAAAATATGGGGACACGTGTTAAACACATGGCCCTGCGTGCTGGATAATGTGTTCTCGAGTGTCTCCGTTCCGCTGCCGTTTTTGGGCTCTGCCAAAAACTTGAAGACGGTTGTCCCTCCCTGCCCTCCCTTGCTCCTCTCCCCTGCTGGCAAGTGTGGCCCCTCGCTCACAGGGGCTTGGAGGCGGCTGCTTGAGCAGCGCTGGGCCGTGTTCGATAGCATGCTTTATCGATCGCTCGCCTGATTTACTGAGTCTGCTGGCATCGGAAAATATGGGGACACGTGTTAAACACATTATTGTTCAATCGCTTCGCTCACTCGGCCGGCCCATGTTGCATGATCGCTACTGCTTCGCCGTGGGCCCGGGGCCACTGTGGCGCCGCCGGGGAGGAGGAAGATGAGGATGGGGAAGGGGAGGGGAGGAGGAGGAGAGGATGAGCAGGCGAGGAGGAGGATGAAGATAAGTAGGAGGAGGAGGAGCAGGAGGAGGAGGAGGAAGTGGAAGGGGCGGAGGAGGAAGCCTCTCGGTGGCATCTTGTGTGTTGCTCTTGGGGCCAAACAGGGTCGTCGTCAAGATGCTTCTTTGAGAGGCCTCTTGGGGTCTTTTGAGAAGCCATTCGGGGGCGCCTGGGAGGCATTTTTGAACTTCTGGACCTCTTTTGGGCCTCCTGGGGGCCTCCTGGGGCCTCTTGGGGGCCTCTTGGCGGCATCTTGGGGCCTCTTGGGGACCTCTTCGGGGCCTCTCGGGGCCTCCTGAGGCCCTCTTGGAGCGGAAGGCTCGAGTTTTCGGTTCGTGGTCCCCTCTTGGGCCCCTCTTGGGGCCGTCTTGGGGCCGTCTTGGGCCGTCTTGGGCGCCGCTTGGGCCGTCTCGGGGCCCTTTTGGGCCCTCTTGGGGCCCTCTTGGAAGCCTTTTGGCCCGTCTTGGGGCTCTCTTGGGGGCCTCGCCGTCTTGGAGCATCGGATGGCCGAAAAGGCGACAAGGCCAAAATCCTTCCAAAACCATAGTAAAAATTATGATTTTGGCCTCTCGGGCCCGTGAGGCCTCTTGGAGGCCACTTGGAGGCCTCTTGGGCCGTGTTGGGGTCATCATCGGCGTCTTGGAGCGCTCTTTGGGCGTCTCGGGGGCCTCTTGGGCAGTCTTGGGGACCTCTTGGGTCAGGAGGGGGGGTAGTCGATTGCGCCCCTCTCCTCGGAGGCCACGATCCCCGTGAGGGGTGTCGAAAAATTGCCTGGTCTGGCACCTCTGATCTGAGTGTCCCGGGGGCGGCCCCGCGCGCGCGAACTAGAATATCGTTAACCGGTTACAGAATATCTTAGCACGCCCTTGGCCCGTTGGGCCGGCGAATATTTGTTCTTCTTCTTCTTCTTCTTCTTATTTTTCTTATTCTTCTTTTTCTTCTTCTTCTTCTTCTGATCACAGCGTGATCTGGCTCGAAGAATGCAGCAGGCAGCGGGGGGTGGGTGCAGGGTTCCGATCGCGACTTTTTGTCGAACGACATGCTGTCCGCGACGTCGCATCTCAGAGCAGATGCTTTTGCGGCGGTACAGTCGGGGCCCTGAAGAAGGAACCCTTTTCGTTGGGGAGGGGCTCCGTGTTCCTTAATTGTTTCGCAGCTTGCCCTGAATGTTCCTTAGGTCTTCGACACGAAATCGAAGTTCAACTTATGGAAAATAGGGGACTCGTTCCTTATTTAGGGTTCCTTAGGTCAACGCCTCGACTGTATCTCGTGCGCTCCGAGACCCTCGCCGCGGGCCCCGGAGAGCCGTCCGAAGAGCACCGCGGGAGGAAGAGAGGTGGGCCTGGGGAAGAGCCCCAGTAATTAAGTAGGATCCGGGGGTGGCCAGAACCCCCACCCTGACACGTCGATGAACGAATCGTCCGTGGTCGGTTCTCGAGAGGGCGCCGCGGCCGTCCTTTTCCAGGCTGGCGCCCGCCAGGTTTTTGTTGCCCGAGGCCGTTGTCATTGAGCCACGTGTTACTAAAAGGGGGTCCTGTCCATCCCCGCAGGACTCGGCTCCCCCAGGGCCCGCTGCCTTCGTGGCAAGTGGGCGACGCCAGAAAACGGGGCCGTCTGGTCTGCGCCGACAGTGTGCGCCTATAAGATGCCCGCGTAGGCTCCTCGCGCGTGAGCGCCCTCGCTTCAAGCGTGGCGTGCCGCGCGGGCGGCCCGCGTGAGCTGCGGCGTGAGGTCGCCGCGCCGTCTCGCGTAAGACCCGCTGTCGGTCGTCGCTCAGGTGGCGGGGGAGCGTGGTAGGGAAGCGCCGCTCTCTTGCGTCGATCCGAGCCCGGGTCGGCCTGAGCTCCGATCAGCACATGGGGGAAGCGTCCTCTTCTTGCGCGCATGCCCACCGAAACGTGTTCTAATCACCGGTTGTGGTCTGCACGACATGTTCTTGAGAGCATTTCTGGCTGAGACAGTATCGTTGTACAGTCGGGGCGCTGAAGGAACCTCTTTCGTTGGGGAGGGGCTCGGTGTTCCTTGATCGTTTTACAGTTTTCTTCAGGTTTTCCATTGGAACTAGAAGTTTTACTTGGGGGAAAATGGGGTCCCGTTTCTTCTTTAGGGTTCCTTAGGTCAACGCCCCGACTGTAGCCCAGCGGTGGCCAACTCTAGGAGCACCTGCTCGGCGCTAGGAGAGCAGACTTCTGTCCCGACCGCGTGCAGTGGCTGGCCTCCTCAGGGGCGCCGGCCGGGGGGGGGGCGGGCCGCCCCTGCTCGGAGCGGGTGGCGCCGGGCGGCGCGGCGACGTCGGGCCGAGCTTGGGGTCGCTCGGCTCCCGACGCCTGGACGCTGGCCGCGCTGGTCCGGGGCTTCTTCGTCTTCTACGCGGCCCGCTTCGCCCCCGATGGCCGGGGCCGCCCGGCCACCTCGAGGGCCCTATGGCCCAGGGAGCGGCCCCCGGCGTCCCTCCGCACTGGGCGCTGCCTCTGTTGTGTTGGGCACCTCGGGCGTCTCGTGGCCAGGCCTCGGGCCCCGGAAGCATCACCGATCAATTTTGCCGAACAAGTTCTAGGTCTCTTAGCTAGGGTCGGAGTAGATGGGGTCGGAGGATCGCGCCGCATCGCCGATGCATCGTCGATGTGGCTGGATGTGGAGCCCGATTTGCTTCACGTCGACGTTGCCGATGCATCGCCCACATCGACGATGCATCGCTGGTGCATCGCCGATGCATCGCCGATGCATCGCCGATGTATCGGCGATGCGGCGCGATCCTCCGACCCCATCTACTCCGACCCAATCTAGGAGGCCTCAGCAGGTGCTCAGTCGATATATATATATATATATATATATGTGTATGTGTATATATATACATACATACATATATATTTGTATATATATGTATATATATACATGTATATGTATATATCGAGCCACCTGCGCGAAGTATCGGAGGGCCGCGATCGCTCATGGCTGACTGGGCCGCGCGGTGTCAGAGTCTGGTGCGTCGTGAGCCCCCTCCAGACGGTGGCCAGAGCGGCGCAGCTCTCGCAGGGGGGGGGCCGTTTCCCCTCCGTGCTTGGCCGGGGCCGCCCGGGGCCTCGAGTGGCGTGGCGCACAGACCCTCCTGTCGGGTTGGGCGGGGAGATGGCAGCTGGTGGACGAGGAGGAGGAGGAGGAGGAGGAGGAGGAGAAGGAGGAGGAGGAGGAGGAGGAGGAGGAGAAGGGGGAGGAGGAGGGGGAGGAGGAGGAGGGGAGGAGGAGGAGGAGGAGGAGGAGGAGGAGGCGCTCTCCAGAGAGGGGGCACGGCATCTGCTGCACGCAGCTGGTGTCGTCTCTGCTTCTGTGGGGGCCTCTGGGTGCCGACGTCGTGAAAGAATCATGGCGTCGTGGGTCTGGATTCTTTCGGCGAGGACCATCGAGGAGCATCCTGCATCCTCTTCCAGGGGGATGGGCGTCCGAGCGATGCCCAGAAGAAGGAAGTGCATGAGCACAACTAGACTGTCGGCGTTCCGCGTGGCTTGGCATCGCTCGGACGTGTGCATTTTTCCTTCGGCGAGGACCATCGAGGAGCATCCTTGATCATTTCGCGAAAAAACCACGCACGAAACCAAAAAAACACAGGAAATGGACGTCCGGGCGATGGCCAGGTGGATGTCTCGGATCTGCGCTGGACCCCCCTGGGCGGCGCCTCCGATGCCGCCCCTGGCGCGCTGCGCGCGTCAGGGAGGGGTGTCCAGCGCAGATCCAGGAAACTCTAGTTGCGCTGCCGCGCGAGTACGACACGCTCGGGGGGGCGGAGGGGGGGCCGCCTTGCTAGAAAGGGGGGCGTGCGGGGAGTGTCCATCGAGCCCCTCCTCCACAAGCATTGTATGGGGGGCCATGTTTGGCCTGGAAAGCCCAAAGACTTGACCACAAACATGAACGCATCTTAGTCTCGAGGCTTCTGTCGAGCGTTTGTGCTTATGCCGTTATCAGGCATGCGGCGTCTTGACTTTTTCCAGTACTGAGCCCCCAGAAGTCCCGACCCTTTCCCTGGGGCTGAAAAAAATTGCATCATCGCAGAAAATCACGCCCGGAGCCCTGGACCCCGTCTTTCTGCGTCTTTTTTCCTTCTGGATCGATCTGTGGGGGTCCCGGGGCCCGAAATAGACCGAAAACGCCCGTTGTGAAAAAAAAAATGCAACGCCAGGATCTCAGGGTTCCTCGAGCGGCGGATGGATGCCGCCCACGTGCAGCGGGGTCTGGCGTCGGGCGGGGTGGCGTGCTGCCAGAGCGCGGGACCGCTCTCCAGGGGAGCCCACCCGTGCCAGGGGGGAGCCCTCGGGGTGGCCTCGGCGCCCCCGGCGCGAGAGGGAGGTGGCCTCGGTGCCCCAGGGATCACCCAACCGCGCGCGCGAACCCCGACACGCATAGGAGCGACCCTGCGCCAGAGGGACCTTGCCAGACCCCCTCGAGGCATGGAAAAATCAAGGCGGGAGGTTTGTCGCCATTTTTACAAGGTTTTTTTTTCACGAGGTTCCCACGAGGTTTTTCGCTAGCTATCTTCACGCCGAAGAAGAAAACGCTCACGGGGCTGCTCGCCGTTGTCGGCCTCTGCGGGGCCCTTCCCGGGCCTCGCGGGGCCGTGAAGACAAAAAAATCGGCTCGGGAGGAAAAACCAGTCCCGGGGAAGGTGGGTCGAGGCCTTTGGGGGTCGACGCCCTGAAATCGGGGGCGGCAATGAGGGGGGTGATGACAAGGGGGGGGGATATCATGGCGCGGGGCATGATGTTTCCCCAGATTTCGCGGCGCCTCTTCTTAGTTCATTACGTCCCTGGCCCCCCCGCTGGGCCGCGCACGTGCCGCCGGACATGATCTGCACCCCCCTCTTGGACACCCCCCTCTTGGCCGCTCCCGATGACAGAGCAATCCTGACGTCGGGGGTCTGGGCTCGGGTGCGCGCCCAATGGGGGCCCCCCCTGGATCGCCGACTGCGACGCGGCAGCAGCGGCCTGCGCGCTCGGTGGTGTCCCCAGGGGGGCCCCCGCGGCCGTGCACGGGAGGTTACGCTTGCCCAGGCTCGCCCTTGCGTGCAGCCCCCCCCCCGCATCTGCGTCCAAGTCGGGCCTGTCCCTCTACAGGAGGAATATTCAAAAATAATAATAAAAAGAAATAGTCGGGGGACCTTTTTTGGATTATTGTTGAGCATTTGGGAGCATTTCCTTGGGTATTTTTTTTAGTTTTCGTCCAGCATCCCCCCGTGGGGGGACGCGCCCGACTTCATTCATCCTAAGGGTTCGAGGCTCTGGGCTTCGCACCTCGTCGCTGCCACGGCCGGGTGCGCCGCGAGAGATTTTCTGGGCGAGGGCGCGCCCGGGGCGCCACTTCTCGAGGCCTCGCGGTGCGGAGTGCCAGGCTGGGGGCAGCTCTTTCTCGCGGCGGGGGGAGCACCGGAGGCAAGGTGTTCTGCCAGAGGCAAGGCGCGTGTCTGCCCGATCGCTGCAGGCAGCAATATCGGTGCCTGGACGTTTGCGGGCGTGTCTCTGTCTCCTTCTCTGGACCTCTTCGTCGCCGCGGCCGGATTCGCCTCGAGACTCCGGGTCAGAACGCACCCCAGGAGAGGTCCCAGGGCGCCGCTTCGAGGCCCTGGCCCCAGATCTCCTGGCGCCGTTTTTGCTTCATGACGACATGTCGGGAGCAACCCGCAACAAAAACACAATGGATTCTGTTTGGCCCTTTCTGGTTCCTGGGGGGGGGGCCTATTGGACTATATGGGGGCTGTCGAACGATGATTTGGATTGGGCAGCTCTGCCCGCATCGGGCGAAGCGAACTGTGCACACGGACGCCGATCCTGCCCTGGCCCGTCCTGGGCCCGGGATCGGAGCCTGCAGGCTTTCCCGGCCAAGCCACCCCAGGGCAGGCGCACCGAGCCTGGGCTCCGGGCGCGCCTGGCCAGGACGGGCCTCCGAGGGGCCCCGCCGGGGGCCTCCGCCGAGGGCCTCCGACGACGGCCCCCGAGGGGGCGGGGCGCCCCCGAGGGGGCGCCCCCGAGAGGGCCCCCGAGAGGCCACGCCAGGCCAGCCCCAGGCGTGGGCCCATGGGCGTGGCCGACCCCGGGCCCGAGGGCCCTGGGCGTGGGCCCGGGGGCCCCCGCGAGGGCCCGAGCCCCCCCGCGCGAGGGCCCCCCCGCGAGGCCCCCGCGCGAGGGCCCCCGGCGGCTTCCGCCGGGCCCCCGCGGAGGGCCCCGCGAGGGCGGGCGGGCCTCCGGCGGGCCGCGGGCGGGCCGAGGAGGGCCCCCCCGCGGCCGCCCGAGGTGCGCCTGGGCTGCCGCGCGCTGCGGGCCGTGGCGGCGGGCCGCGGGGCCCGCGCCGGGCGGCCGCAGGCGGGGGGAGATCGCGGGCCTCGAGACGGGGGTCGGGCGAAAGGGGGGGATTGGGAAAAGGGGGGTTACGAAATTTGCTGCATGCAGCTGGTTTCGGCCTCACCGAGGGGCCCATTCCTCGATACATAGCCGCTTCCGGCGCCGGGAGGCGCCGGGAAAATCAGCTACGTGAGCTGATTCTTAAACCCCCCCTTTGCTATCCCCCCCTTTCGCCCGACCCGACTCGAGACGGGGGTCGATGCAGACGGGGGTCAGCCAGGGCACTGGATCCTGCAGGCTCCTGCGAAGACCCCCTCTGGTTGACCCGGGTCAGCGAGCCGCTCGTGGCCGCGAGGCAGCCGCGCACACTGGCTGGCCCGGGTTTGCGAAGACCTGTGTTGCAGTTTTGTTGTTCCCGCGTTTCAGTTTTTGGTTTCCTGCTGATCCGGGTCTGGATTGACCCGGGCCAGAAAATCCCAGAGGAGATCGGGGCTCGAGGGGCCCAGACCTCCTCGAGTCCCAGGCCTTCTCGAGTGAAGTCGGGCCTGTCCCTCTCTACAGGGGGGAAGCTTCGAAAATAGTCCACAATATAGTCTGGGGACTATTTATTGAGTACTTTCTGACTATCTTGGAATATTTCTGGGGTATTTCTATTAATGTTTCGTCGAAAATCCCCCTGTAGGGGGACACGCCCGACTTAGTCCTCGAGTCATGAAGCAATCACGACCCCTGAGACCCTGGCGTTGCAATTGTTTCACGACGAGCGTTGGCGTTCCCTTTCGGGCCCCGGGGCCCTCACAGATCGATCCGGCTCGGAAAATGAGGCAGGAAGATGCGGTCTGGGGCCCCGGGCGTGATTTCTTGCGATGTTGCATTTTTTTGCAACGTCGGATCTCAGGAAACAATCACGACGGGAGGTGATAGTTTTCTCATTCATTGGTTTGCCGATCGGCGCGGTCCATCGCACCCCTTCCCCCCTATAGAGTATTTAGAACTTGGCTGTGTTCTGGCGCCTGTTTCGAGCAGGACGCACTGCTGCAAACAGTCGCACTAAGCAGAAGTCCGGGGCCAGACCCCCACTCCCCCTTCGGCCCAATGTCGAAACGCCGAATAAGAAAACGCTCACGAGGTGTTTTTTCACTATTTTCGGCCTCTGGGGGCCCTTGCCAGGCCTCGGGACTGTGGAAAAGTGGTTCAGGGTGAAAAGCCGGTCCCGCGGGGAATGTGTCGAGACGTCTAGGGGTCGACGTCGCGAGACAATCATGACGTCGGGGGTCTTGGGACGGGGGTAATAATGCAAACGGGGATCCGCAAGGGCGCCGGCTCTTGCAGGATCCTGGAGAGCCAGGGCTGCATTGGCCCAGACTTGGGTGCAGAGTCCTGCAGGATTCTGCAGACTCCTGCAAGCCCTGCAGACCCCCGACGTCGGTTTCATGACGTCGACCCTCAGAGACCTGGACCCCTTCCCCGGGACCGGTTTTTTGTCCCGAGTCGTTGTTTCACGGTCCCGAGGCCCGGTAAGGCCCCCAGAGGTTGAAAATAACGAAAAATTGCCCGTCGAGATGTTTTTCAAGACGCGAGGGGGTCTGGGGCCAGTGCTCGGCACGAACGGAATGGGTACGGAAACAAGAATGGGTACGATGCCCAACAGCAGTCCTTGTTCATTCTGAACAGGGCTCGCTGTCGGTGCCGCCGCGGCATGTGCCCATCCGAGACAGAAGGCCGCCTGCCCAACAGCGGCCGCTGTTGGTTTGGGACAGCACGTGTTGTTCGGCACTGTGCCCCATCTTTCCGCACCCACTTCGGCCGTCCAGAAGTGCGTCCCCGAGAAGAGCCGCCGCAAGCCCCACGCCCGCCAGGGGCGCCCTGGCCATGCTGGCCGACAGGCCCAATGCTGGCTGGCCTCGGAGGAGGGAAAAGTACCCATGCCGAGGCCCTTCCCTCGTTATCCCGATTTGGGGCCTCCTGGGAGGCCCTCGTCGCCACCGCTGGATTCGCTTCGAAATCCTGGTCCGAACGCACCCTGGGAGAGGTCCGGGGAGTAGCGGTATCGTAAAACAGAGCTAGGATCGGGATAAATCGCTCCAGAGCGTTCCGGAGCGCTCTCAGAGCGTTCCGGAACGCTCTGGAGCGGCCGCGGTGCCCAATACATCCTCCAAACCCGCCGATCCTCAGAGATTTCGAGTTATCCCGATCCGATTTTGTCCCGATCTTCGCGTCGTTCTAAGTGGGGGTGGGGATGGTTCTGACGAGGATCAGGGGAGCACGCGCTGACAGAGACACGAAAGGTCGGAGGTCCGCGCGGAGCCCTCGGGTCGGCGCTGGGGCACCCCGGTGGCGCCTCCAGCGCCGCCCCCTGGCGCGCTCCGCACGCCAGGGAGGGGGGTCAGCGCCGATGCGAGGAATCCGCGCGGACCTCCGAGATGTTCTGTTTACGTCGTTGTGGCTTAAGCTCCCCTAAAAGGGGCGGCTCTCGCTGGAGGACCCGCGGGGGGGGCTTCAAAGTCGGCCAGTATCGGGGAGGGGTCTGACGAGCGCACAGTGCCGTTTTTGTTATACATGCTCCGCGTGCGGATCATGGATTCAAAATGCAGGGATTGAGTATTAAAAACAACGATGAGTGCATGCATGAATTCATTCATTCATCATATATATATATACATATGTATATATATATATATTCCTTTTAAAAAGAGAAAACATGTATTAAAAACTGCCCTATACGCGAAGAGCGGGCACGACGACCGACAGCAGTCCCTGCCCACGTGGAGCGGGCCCCGCGGTCCAGGCGTGTGCGTTCTGCTCCCGCCCGGCGTGCCCGCGCCGGCTCGGGCCCCGGGGCCGTCAAAGCTCGATCGAGCTGGCCGAGTGCTGCAGAGAGAGATACGGGGTCGACAGTGCCGTTTTTTATTACATTCAGCCACGCGCGGAGGGGGGTGGGGGGAGGAGGTAGGGCTTCTTAGAAACACCCCTGCTTCTTAGAAGGCGCGGGCTTCTCTATCGATGTAAGGCCGCCGCCTTCTAAGAAGCCCTCCCCCCACCTCTCCCCCCACCCCCTTGTGCGCGCCGCCAATAAATGCTCTGCGTGCGGCTCATGCATTCAAAATGCACGGATTTAGCATTAAAAACAACGATGGGATCATGCATAAATTTACGCATAAGTGAACCATGTATTTAGAATCACGTGTTTTTTACAAATCCCATGTCTTAAAAACTGCCCTGTAGGGCCCTGGTCGCGACTTGCTGCGATGCTTTTTGTTTGTTGTTGTTCGCTGCACCGGGTCTCAGGGAGTGTCGCTGCCGGCGTCGCCGCGGACGCTGCCCACTCGAAACCCGAGCCGCCTGCCCGACAGCGGCCGCTCTGGGTGGTGGACAGCGTTTGCTGTTGGGCATCACCCACATGTTGCCCGTGCCCATTTTGGGCGTGCCAAGACAGGGCCAAGATCTCCGACGATATGATGATTCACCTGCGAAAGACAATCAAAATGGGCAGCGGGGCGGACAACTGGACCTGGGGAAGGGGTCGGGACTTGTTCGGGCCGCGCATTGAAAATGCACACTGTCGGATGTCCGGATATGGGCAGTACAGTGGAGGCCCATGCCAAGAAGCACCTTCCTTGCCTCCAGGGTGTCCTGGGTTTCTTGGCTTTCGATGGCTTTGCTATGGTAGGCGTGCCGCGCCCACACCAAAAATCGATAGACGCCCCAGGGCTTCAGGATTGGATTTCTTGTGGAAGATTTCTTGCGGACTGGCCTGCGCTGTATTTGTGGGATGGCCAGGACAATCCGGGGCTCGAGGATGGAGCGTGGAGATCCTCCTGGCCCCTGCCAGGAGGGCGCGTGCACCCTGCGGGGGCCCAGGACGGCCCTGGCTGGGCACCGCGGTGGTGCCCAGGCACTCGGTGCGCAGCGTGGGTTGGGTGGGCTGGCGAGGCCCCTGCCGAGTCCGACTGGGCCTGGGCCAGCTATCCCCGGGGCCCTCGACGCCTTTCCCAGCGGCTCTCGGCCCATTTCTTCCTCCTCCTCCTCCTCCTTCTCCTCCTCCTCCTCCTCCTCGTCCTCCTCCTCCTCCTCCTCCTCTTCGGCATCTCCTCCTCCTCCTCCTCATCCTCCTCCTCGACCTCGTCCTCCCCGGGGCCCTCGACGTCTTTCCCGGAGGCGCTCGGCCCCCTCCTTTCTCCCGAGCGGGGTGGCCCGCGGCGGGCGGGCTCCCGCAGCGGACAGAGGGCCGCAAGACCAGCGGCCTCGTCTTTCCCGGAGGTCCTTTTGGGCTATTTGGCCCCAGGCCCCATCGACATATCCGTGCCCGCGGCCTCGAGACCTGAGCCCCTGGGCCCCGACCATTGGTGGATATATGGGGCGCTTCTTGATCTTTTCGCGGAGGCCCCGCGCGGAACGTGCAGGGAGGGCCCATGCCGAGGAACACCCGCCCTGCTTGCCTCCAGGGTGCCCTGGGTTTCGATGGTGGTGCTGTGGATCCACAGCACCACCATCGAGAGGACGTCACGCTCTCGAGAGCGTGAGGTCCAGGTATCCATGGGCGTCCTGGGGTCTCAGGGTTGGGTCCCTCGTGGCAGGTTCCTTGTGCACCGGCCTCCATGGTACCCATGCGACAGCACATCCGCGGGATGGCACGCCCTGGTATGCAGACCGCCGTGGGGGCGCGGATGTGGATAATCGCGTGGCCGCTCGTGGGTTCCGCCGAGAGGCCCCCCGGAGGACTCTCGACCCCATCTCCAGGGCCAGGTGTTCGCCCCAGCTCCGCGCCTGCTGGTTGAATTCCGCGGCCCGACAGGGCCCCAGAAGCCGAAATCAACGAAAAACGCACGGATTGAAAGAAAAAGTCAGACCTATTCGGGGGATCCCGGTTCATGAACAGATTGCTCCATCGCCTAGAATCTGGGGCGGCAAATTTGGGGGGGTAATGACTAGGGGGGGGGGATATCATGGCGTGGGTCATGATATTTCTCCAGATTTCAAGGCGCCTCTTCTTATTTCATTGCGTCCCTGGCCCCCCCGCTGGGCCGCGCACATGCCGCCGGTCATGATTTGCACCCCCCCCTCTTGGACACCCCCCTCTTGGCCGCTCCCGATAGAAAGTCGACCTGGGCACGGGGCCCCATCTTTCTGCTGCTGTTTTCGAGTCGCATTGATCCGCCGCTGTCGTTCAACGTTGAACGTCACTGGCGACCCAGAATCGGTCGATGTTGAACGATCTGACGCTTCGGAAACGGCCGATCGTTCAAAGTTGAGCGAGTCCCGCGGTGTCAGGAACCAACGCCGGGGCCGACATGACACGAAGCTGCCGCACGTTTCTCGCCCACGGCTCCCAGCCGAGAGCCCAGGCCCTCGACGTCATGCGTTTTCCATGACGTCGACCCCCAGAGGTCTCGACCCCTTCCGCGGAACCGGTCTCTCGTCCAGCGTCGTTTTTCGACGGCCCCGAGGCCCGGCGAGGGCCCCTGGAGGCCGAAAGCAGCGACAAGCCGCCCGTCGTAATTTTGTCACGGCGCGAGGGGTCTGGGAGGACCCTGTCGAGACCGACTGGGACCTGGGCCGGATCCTCGCTGCCCCCCCCCCCCCGGTGGCGCCTCCGGCGCCGCCCCTGGCGCGCCCCGCGCGCCAGGGAGGGGGGTCCAGCGCAGATCCAAGAAGTCCGCACGGACCGTCGCAAGTTTGTGTGTGTGTGTGTGCCGTTTGTGCTGTTTCTTTCCCGGATAACTCGCAGAGCAAGAGGGTTTCAGATGGAACCTGGGTAAGGGGACCCGGTCAGTGGTAGGGCCCGGGAGCCCTCGAAGTGGCCAGGATCACTGAACCAGGTTTGCCATAGCCTGTGTTTTTGTCGGGTGACGGCAGCTCCGGTTCGTGGAACTGGGACGGGGGGGCGCCCCCGGCACAGACCACCAAACCAGGTTCCACGAAACCCTTTTCTACCAGTGCCCGAAAGAGGGCTTCGGCTTATGATAAAGCCGGAGCCGCAGGGTGGCTCCGGAGGTCCTTGCGGCCTGCGGCAGGACACCTCGGCGGGGCTCGCTGGACCTTGCAGCGTGCTCCAGCAGGCCTTCTCCAGGCGTCTCCCAGTGCGCGTGTTCGGGAGCTCGCCAGCAGGTCCTTCGGGAGCTCTCTCCAGGTCCTCCCGGAGTTCTTCGACGGGCCTCTCCGCGCCCTTCGCGCGCCCTGCTATCCGGGTTTGGGCCCCCTGAAGTGCTCCAGCCGAGAGCACCGCCGCCAGAAGCATCCAGCGCAGATCCAAGAAATCCGCGCGGACCGTCGCAAGTTTATGTTTGTGCCGTTTTAGTTGTTAGTTGTACATAGATGTGTATATATAAATATATAATAAGAGAGAATGATCCAACAAAACCAATTAAGAGGGGAACAACAAGTGACATAAACATGAAAACTCGGAGGTCCGCGCGGATTTCTCGGATCGGCGCTGGGGCCCCCCGGCGGCGCCTCTGGCGCCGCACTCCGCGCGCCAGGGAGGAGGGTCCAGCGCCGATCCGAGCAATCCGCGCGGACCTCCGAGTTGTTATGCTTGTGTCACTTTTTTGTTCCCCGAAGTAAACCAACAACAACAAAAAGAAAAACGAGAGGACCCCGTCGAGACCGACTGGGACCTGGGCCAGATCCTCAGCGCCCCGCGGGGGCTGCGCCTGCGCGCCGAGCTGCGGCGCGGCGCGCGCCTCACGGCGGGCGCGCGGGCCCTGGGCGCCCCCCCCGCGGAGCGGCTGGCGGCGGCCCTGCGGGCGCGCGGCGCGGGCGCGGCCCGCGGGGCGCCGCGGGAGGGAGGCTCTGACGTCGCAGCTCCACCTCCTCCTCCTCCTCCTCCTCCTCCTCCTCCTCCTCCGCCTCCTCCTCCTCCTCCTTCCTCCTCCTCCTCCTCCTCCTCCTCCTCCTCCTCCTCCTCCCTCCTCCTCCTCCTCCTCCTCCTCCTCCCCTCCTCCTCCTCCTCCTCCTCCTCCTCCTCCCCTCCTCTCCTCCTCCTCCTCCTCCTCCTCCCCCTCCTCCTCCTCCTCCTCCTCCTCCTCCTCCTCCTCCCCCCCCCCCTCCTCCTCCTCCTCCTCCTCCTCCTCCTCCTCCTCCTCATCATCATCCTCCTCCTCCTCATCATAATCACCAACAGGTGGCGAAGCGTCCTGGCGCCGCCCCCCGCTCGCTTCGAAGGGCCAAGGGGACAAAGCAGCACATCAAGCGGTGGCGAAGCGTCCTGGCTCGCCTATAGGCCCACCAAACAATGTTCTAAGAACCGTCTTGTGGTCTGCACGCACTGTTCTTAGAACAGTTCTGGCCGAGACCGTCTTGCTTGAGCACATCGGGTTCGTGTTTTAAGGACATCGTCTTTGTTATTGGAAAATCCCTTTGTTCTAAGAACATCTCGTGGTAGGCCTATAGGAATGCCGGGACGGTCGGTCCCTGCTCAAACGGAGTGCCTACCCGGGCACCAGCTGGGCACGTGTCGAAACCTTGGCCCCACCCCTCAAAGTACTCCAGAAGTAGATCAGAGGAGGAACAGGCACCCATACCGCTACCCTCTACCCGTTTTCCCTTTCGTGGCCTCCTGGGAGGCCCTCGTCGCCACCGCCGGATTCGCCTCGAAATCCTGGTCAGAACGCACCCAGAGAGAGGTTCGGGGAGTAGCAGTATCGGTATCTTCTGGTTTCCCCAGTAGAGAACCCGAACGTGCAAGCTTGGTGTGGGTACCAAGGAAAAACGGTGTCGCCCCGATCCGCATGTGTCCCTAAACTCTGCCAGTCGGGCTTGCGGGAACTCCATGCGCTGCAAAGGAACCGGTGCTGGCAACTCGGGCCTTGGCCTGTGAAGCCATGTCTTGGACTCGGGACCTGGGCTGCCTGGACACATCGGCGGGGAGTACTTGTGGGGGCGCGGCGAAGGTAGGCGCGACAGTGGGAACAAATGCCCAACACAAATCAATGATCAGAGCAAGCTCTAAACGCAACATGCACATCGACAGCAACCGCAAACTCACAGCGAACGCCATCTCAGAAGCGGCCTGCGCTTGACGGAGAGTTACGGGATATGATTCGGCGCGCCAGCGACCTCATAAAAGGCACGCTTGGGAGGTACGATCCCACGATTAAATGTACAGCGGCTTCTCTTGCAACCGCCAGAGATCGGTGCATGGTTTAGCCGTAACCTTCGCCATCTCCATATCTTTTTCTCTGTCGCGCTCAAACATGCGGAGGAGGCCGAGCCAAGCGCAAGAAAACACCCTCATCATTCATGACTCATGGCCATCGTGGTCACCATGCCCGAACCGCAGCCGTTTCCAGCCAGGCTTCTCACTCTCCCCTTGCTTCTGGACCCCGGCTGGACGAACTCGGGGCGCCCGTGGCATTTGGGATGCCCGCGGCTGCCCCACTTGGGTGGCTGCTGCTGTCGCTCTGTGCCTGCCCTAGCTCTCTGGACAGGTGCATCCTCCACCGGTCTGCGTGCGGCATGCGGGGGGGATTGACCT